AGCACAGCTTCATGAATGAAAAACAGTATTCCACAGCAGTATATTCCATTACCACTGTATCACAAGTCAACCCTTCATATATACATGCAAATTTATTAAAAAGGAGAGAGAGTAAACTCATCATCACTACTTAAGTGTAGAGTGACTATATAAATACTTCAGTAACTCAGTGATCATCTATCTAAATATGAATACCCTCTCTGGACATTACCTAAAATGAGATGGAAACACTTAAAAGGAAAACTATGGTTTCTTTATGGTTTCATGAACTTTCAAAAGTTCTCTGACTTTCAACCAACACTTTCAAGCCAAATATAAATATGAAAAATATCTATTTGATTTCTTCCATAGTCAATAATCATGTTTGATTCACAAAACATAAGAAATGGTTGTATACCTGAGCATAGTGATTCACCTGTATTTCCAGCACTCTGAGAGGCTAAGGCAGGAGTATCACAAGTTAAAGCACAACCTGGGAAATCTTATGACTTAGTGAGATTCTGTTTCAAAATTTAAAAGGAAATAATGAAAGGCTATAGATATAGCTTAGTGTAGTGATCCCAGGGTCAATCTCCAGTATCACACACAAAAAAGAATGATAGCATAAGGGTAAATAACTTCATAAACTTTCAATAATTAAAAACATACTACCTTTAAAAAAATAAATTTCCTGTAGGCTATATTTCTGTGACTTTAAACATCCAGTAATAAAACCTTTAAATTACAAGACTTCTGGAAGAACATGGCAGATAGATAGCAGCAGCTATGGAGGCTCTCTGAGATACCGTGCTTAGAATACAGGAATGCTGCGGTATGAGGAGTCCTAAGCAAAGGGAAATACACCCTGCTGACCCAGGAAAGAACTAAGCTAAGAGAAACCAACTGGAAATCCAATTCTGGTGCTATAACAAGAACAGATAAAATCTCAGCACAGAAGCTAAACCTGTGCCACTGGAAGCCATGATTTGAATTTCCTGCTGCCGCTGCTGTGTCCAAATCTGCTGAGCAGGGAGAGAGACGCAGGAAAGCTCTGAGAGTGGGAATCTGTGAACAGAGTTGAAAGCGGGACTAGCAGGGAGCCCTACATCGACTTGCGGTGAGTGAGCGGACGGGAACCCTTTCATAGAGTAGGAGGCTCCAGCAAAGGACATACTGGGAAATACCGGCCAGACATGCTGGAACAGGGTGCTGTAGTGACTTCAGTCACATATTCCCTTCTCAAGTGAGATTGCTGGAGAGTGCTGGCCTGTGTGATGCCACTGACTAAGACCCAGTAGGCTAGCCCAAACCAGGTCCCAGCGCCTGGAAGTGCACCCTAGCAGTGAAGCCTTTGGTAGGTTGACCTGGAGGGACGGGCCCAGCACAGGCTGCCCAGGTCTGTGTCTCCCTAGTACACTGCAGTGGGCAGGAACACCTAACCAGTGCAATTCAAATAAACTGTAACTGAAAAAGAGGAAAAAAATGGGCCTCCTACATTCACTTGTATGGAAGGAACAAAAAGTATGGGAAGAGGAAGGAACAAGAAAGGGTCCTCAATCCCCAATCCTGAGAACACTGATCCAGAAAAGGGAAATGCAAAGGAAGACAGAAAACACGCAATATCAGACATGGCACCAATAGACATAAAGCGATATATCCAGAGCCTCACAGATGAGTTTAAAAATAAAGTATTTAATGAAATAAAGCAAGATATAAGTAGAATAGTTACAGAAATGCTAAGCACTGCCAAAGAAAAAACAGATGGTGGAATGGAAGAGCAGAAAAAAAGGGGAGAATAGTTTGATGGAGAAAATAGGGAAAACATAGAATATGTGAAGCAGGTTCAAAGAGATTACCAGGAAACGAAAAACTCTATCAAAAGCTGGCATAATAGCTTGAAAGAAACTAAGGATAGATTGTCTGAACTGGAGGGAAGATTTGTAATGTGAGAGCATGAAATGAAAAACTTATTAAAAATAACAAGAAAACAAACAGCAATAATACAAAGGTTAAAAGATGATAAGAGGATCAATAACTTAAGAATTAAGAACATAAAAGAAGAAGTAGGGACACAAACAAATGGACTACAAAAGCTATTCACAGAAATAGTCCAAGATAATTTCCCTAATTTAGCAAAAGGTAAAGATACTCAGATGTATGAGGCATACAGGACCCCAGCCACCTACAACCCAAGCAGAGCTACACGCAGGCATATAATAATCAAAATTCCAGAAATCCAATATAAGAACAGAATACTAAAAACCGTCAGAGACAAGAAACAGATCACTTACAAGGGAACACCCATCAGAATTACAGCAAACTTCTCAGCACAAACCATCAAATCACAAAGAGCATGGGGGGAAATAATTCAAGCTTTGAATGATAACAACCTCCAGCCAAGATTGATATATCCTGTACAACTGTCCCTAGAAATTGATGGAGAAACAAGGTGCTTCCAGGATAAAGAGGAACTAGGAGAATTTGCAACCACCAATTCAACTCTACAGAGAATACTGCAGGATATTCTAAAAAACGAAAATACCAAGACTTCAGAAACAGTGGCAGAAAGGCCACAATGAATGGAGCAGAAAGCGAAATGAAGAAGACAAACTGACAACGAACGACAGAAAAAAGAGCTCAACAGAAATGAGACAGAGAAGATCAGATGGTAGGAACAGCTATTTTGGAGAAAACAAGACATCATAATAGCTAGTGCTGATTTAGTATCATCTTGCTTTGAAGTCTCATTAAGCTTTTATCCTTCCATCTCCATCGGTCTTAACAGGTTGTATCTTATTGGATTTTATTATATGTGATAATATAAGCAAAAACTTTTATAGACAAGGAGATTATACAGAAACCATTGTCCATTTTCTGATAGTTGGTTCTAAATACCCTGTAATACTGTCATTCTCTTAAGTGGTTTTACATTGTCTTAATGTGTTTGGTGCTACGGTATACCAAGTGATACTCAAAGATCTCAAGGAAAGAGACATTATGGTAACTACTTTTATGTCGGAATGTCTTGTGGTGAAACACTATTTTGCTTAAATGGTTATGCTTTGACCTGTGCTGTTTTGTTGTTATGCCCTCTTTTATCTCAATCTCCTTTTTTTAATTATTTACTTTTTTATTTTTTTTTCAATCAAGGGAAAAATAAAAAAAGCAGGATACATTATAGTAACCCACTTTGATTTCCTATTAACTTGATTTGAAACCCTGTATAGCCCTCACCATCTTGCTTTGACTGATTTTCATCTATTCTGCTTTGCTTGATAGTATCAAGTTTGAAAGTATAGGCAAAACTGTGAAGACAATAAGATTCATCATGATGCCCATTCTGGTTGACTATTATCTTCTTTTAAAGCTCTGTAATGTCTCCAATATTTTGGTTTTATTCTTTACTGTTTTGTTCAATTTTATTATAACTGATGATATAGGCAATTCTTTTTAAGATAGCAAGAGGCAGTATGGTAACCATTGTTGATCACCTAGTATTTTGCTTTTTACATTATCTATCATGTTCATCCTTTTGATTAGACTGACTGTTCTGGTATGTCATATTTGGTTTTATTCTCTTCAAAAAAAAGTAATACGAACTGTGGAAGTAATAGAACCCAAAATGTGTAATTGTCATTGTACAAAAGAAAGGGAAAGAAAGTGCTCTAAAAAATATAACCACATATATATTTAAGTGTATAAGATAGATAACCATATTACTGAGTTTTGTTGGATCATTGAACAAAACTGTTTCCAGTCTCACTGTTTGAAAGTCCACTTTATATGCTTTAATTTTGTAACTTGAACAACTATTTCTAAGATAGCAATATGTAGTCTATTAACTAGTGATTTCCTATTGTTTATTTTTTCTAAAATTCTGTATAACTTGTACCTTATTTCTGTTCTTTTTTTCTTTTTCTCCTTAATAAAAAATAAAAAATCTTTAAATTACAAATTCAAATTTTAATCCATATGAAACTATTTCACTGTAATTACTGTGCTTTAAAGTTTTTTTTCATTTAAGGACAGAAGGAAAAATATCTATATTTTATAAAATTTTAGTGTAAAGATCCATTGTAATAACATTACTATTAATTCTCTTTTTATTTTTTTATTATTTTGTTTTAAAGAGATTAAGATAAAAGAGGACACAACAAAGTAGATCCAAACAGAACAATTTAAGCAACACAGTATTTCACCACAAGACAACTCAATATAACAGTAGCTACCATAATGTCTCTTTCCTTGAAATAGTTGAGCATACCTTCATACACAATAGTATCAAACATAAAAAAAAGTATAAAACCATTAAAGAGAATGAAAGTATTACAGGGCATTCAGAACCAAATAACAGAAAACAAACAATCGTTACTATAACTATTGATGCTTATAATAATAGCTTAAATGTATTGAGCATTAATGTATCAGTTCCTAAATTGAACTCTTTTTCTATATTATTCACATAAATTGCACAACAGTCTTTTAAAGGAAGCAGAATTACTGCTACTTATAGAGAAATGTCTGAAAAGTTAAGTCATTTGCTCCACACTCTTTGTAGTGGGATCATAGAATCAGAAATCAAGACCAATTTTTTCTAACTCTTAAAAACCAGATATTAAACATTTTACTACTTCAGAAACCATAAGAGCACGATTTGATGAATTGCTCTGAAAATTAATATTAGCTCCAAACCCCAAAAGATCATTAAGAAAGTTAAGAGAGAAACCACAAACTGAAAAATGTATGTTAGTGAATTAATGTCCTTAACATAGTAAGGGAATTCTCACAAGGCAATTTATAAAAATGAAAAAATATAAAAGGTAAAATAGTAAATGTAGTCATTGAAAGGTTTGAAAACCCAAACAAAAAAGTAAATTATACTGACTTATCACTCTCGTCTCATAATATTATCAAAAATTTCAATAATTGATCTGTCTAATGTTGTTAAGTATATGAAGAAATAATTGTGTTCATAGATAGATAGGGAACAATATATGAAACAACCATAAATATAACAGATACACATAATTTATTAGGATCTAGTTTATGATTTCAGGGTCTCATTTCAAATAGTATGCTTAATGTGAAAAAAAAATAGAACATGTCCTCCACACATACAGTATGTTCTCAATTTGAGAGAAGAAAGAAAAAGTACTTTTTAAGCACAAAAATTTCTAGTTGGCCATATGCCAAAATGTTAATCAACAGTGCATGTTTTGGGATGAGTGGAATTATAAAAATTTTTATTTTTCATTATATCTTTCAATATTATGTAAATTTTTAATATTATCAATTAACTTTACAATTATACACACAAACACACACACATATATAGAAGCCAGTCAGTATAGTTACTGAGGCAAACACTCTTGCTTGTGACCACTCTAGGAGCTTCCAGGTCAAATATTATTCCACAATTTTTCTTGCCATGTCTTTTGGGACAGCTGTGTGTACAGTCCTATGAGACAAAAAAATGATACATATAAGCCAGTTATGCTAGTAATTGGTCTGTAGGTAGACATGTAACCCAGTTCTAGCCAATGAGATATGGAACTTTGTTGATGATCTCAGGCTGGGGCTTTTGCCTTGGCTAAACAGACAGCACTTTAGTCACTCATACAAGACATGATTGAAAAATACAGTGAATAGCTAAATATTAAAAAAAAAAAACTTACGATGGTAAAGACAAATTGCCAAGTCAATGGTATTAGTGTGTTGGAAGTAAGGTGTAGCATTTTGAGGGAGATTAATGAGAATGTATAATTTTCTGTAAAAAGTGTTTTTTAAGTTTAAACATTCACTCTACTTTTTTATTGCATCCCATTGAACTACTGTTTGTGACTACTGCTGTCAAACAAAATTACTATGGTGGATCCTCATCCATCTTATTCACCAAATCTAACATCACGTGACTTTTGATTTTTCTCCATAGTCAAAGTGACCATAAAATGTAGATGTTTTGAAACTAATCAGGACATCAAGGCAGCAGTGATGGAACAACTAACAATACTCAGAAAAGGGAACTTCCAGAACTGCTTCAGAAAGTGGCAAGAATAGTGGGACAGTTGTATTTGAGGAAAATAATTTGAGAAGGATTAATGGTAATGTTTTTCACTGCAATGAATTTTTAAAATTTGAACTTTTCACTATATGTTTTCGGTTTTCTTTAGTTTTTACATTTTATTAGTACATGTTTGCAGTACATAATTATTACTGGAAAGTTGGTACATGAACATGATACATTTTAACTCTTTTTCACCCTCTTTCCCCCTTCCTTCCACCCTCTTTTCATCTCTTGGTCTTTTTCCCTGTTGCAAAAGATCTAGCTTTTGGTTTCCTATTATCTGTCTTTTATTTTGCTTTTTATTTATTTATTTATTTATTTATTTTATATTTCTCTTATAAGAAAAACCATTCAATATTTAAGCTTGTGTGTCTGATTTATTTCACTCAACATTATGGTCTAAATCACATTTTGCATCTGTCCATTTGCTTTTCTTCTTAAATTGCTATTGTAATAGATTGAGATATTTAAATCTGTGGCAGTCATTTGGATATGATGAAGGGGGATACCAATGGTTCACTGAAGAGGCAGAATCAAAAAAGTTCAAAAGAACCAAGCCCAGATGTTGATGATATTGTGAGTCACTGAAACAGTCCTGATCAACTTCCAAGCTTTGTGTTACAATCATTAAATGTGTTTATTATTCAATAATTTGTTGGTGCAGTATTTTGATCATGGAAATTGAACATGTTCTGTTTCAATGGTTCATATAAAATAAAAATGTATAAACATACATTTGAACTAGAGAAATACATACAGATGCAGATATATATCTTGTAACTTCCTGTTTTCTCAAGTCTTCATCTTCATTGTGCAATCTTTCTTGAATATAAAACCCCTTCCTTTCAAATGTACACTTCTCATAAGCTTTAAGCCTACTTTTGTCTCCCTACTCTCCCTTACTTGCATTTTCAATTTTATATTCTTTCTCCTTCAAATACAAGCTTTTAAAAAACTTTCTTCTATCTAACATACCCACTTCTAAATTCTTAGTCTTCTATCTACTCCAATCCAACTTCCATAGCCATCATTTAACAAAAACCCACTAGTTAAATTATGACCCATGACGTCTATGGTTTTACTAAAGAATATAATTTTTTTTAAATTTCTCTTCACCACTCTCTTTTTACTAAAATGTTCTGTTCCCTTAGTTTCTGTTCTTTCTCCATTGGATTTTTTCTTTTACCTCTATGACGATTGACCTTTCATTGCTTCCTTTGCCAGCTCATAAGCTCATCCTCCCCTACTGGCCCAATAAATGTTGCTATTTCTCAAGGCTAGCTGTTAGACACTTCACATTTCCACCTATTAATTCCACCTATTACTATTCCACCTATTAATATTTTTGGTAGCAGCTTCTATTTATGAGTGTAATATAAATAATGCATAATATGTAAGATATATTAAGTCCAATATTTCTTTGTAAATATCTCAGATGCCTGTCAAGTTCAATGTCTGCACTTGTGGTCTTCAAACTTAAACCTCTGTCTGTATTCTTGTCATAGTGAATGGCATCAGGATTGAAACAGTGATATAAGAATAGTCCTTGATACCTTTGCCTATCTATCACCGGCACCAAAACTCAGTTTATCACTAAGTGCTATAAATTTTACTTCCTAAATTTCTCAAATTTAGTCACATCTTCTTCATATCTCTTCTTTTAGCTAAACTGCATCATAAATTTCCAACTGATTTCTCTACATCTTTTCTTACATTTCTTTAATTTATCTCCACACTTTAGCTCATGTGGTCTTTCCTTTAAATTAAATTCTGATTATATCATTTTCTTGATTAAAACTCTTTAGTGGCTTTCTGCTGCTCTTAGGATGCAGAATAAGAGCTTAACTTGATTTTCAAATCTGCACAAGATATATCTTTTAAATTCTACAGTCTCATTTCTCATCATGCTTTCTACCACATTACTATCCTTAAGACCTTCGTACTCATTCCAATTGGGTTTATTGGCATGTGCCTGTAGCCCCTGCACTCTGGGGACACTGAGGCAGGAGAACTACAAGTTCAATCTCAGCATGGCCAACTTAAAGAATTAGGAAATCACTCTCAACAATAAAAAAATGAAAAGGGGTAGCTGAGATTACAGATATGTACCACCACCCCTAGCTAGACTGTTGAATGTTTTCCTACCTGCCACATCACCTCATCTTAATGTTAACACACTGTCTTTATGGTTAGGTAACAGACAACTATATTTGGAGAGCTCTTTCTAGAACCAGAAAGTGAATAGTTTTTAGTGTAGACCAGTCATGTCAATTCTATTCTCTCTACTGGCAATGAAGGTAGGGATGTGAAACAATCTTGCTAACAAGAAGTAAAATGACAAGGAGAAGGGGATTGAGACTCCTAGGAAGGAAAAGTTGGACTCATTCCTTCCTATCTTGTAAAATGATATGATGTTTAAGAATGTGCCTGCCATTTTGTAACCATGAGGATAAAACAACTAGTAAATAATTCTTGTGATATTATGTTCTGCATTATGTTGAATTTTTATTACAATCTTTCATATTTCTGAAATCACATACCCCTGCTAGAGCTTCCCCATGTGTATAAGTCAGAGTACTCTAGAAGAACAGAATCAGTAGACAATCTATGTATAATTATGTTAGGGCCATTTATTAGGTAGATTTGCAGGGTTGTCTGTGTGCTGAACAGACACAGGATCTAGTAGATGAAAGATAGAAGCCCAAGAAGACCGAAGCCACAGAATGAGGGATCAAGAATGCAGGATTGGCTGGAGGTTTAGCTCAGCAGCACAAGTACCTGCCTGGCAAGTGCAATGTCCTGAGTTCAATCCCTGGTACAAAAAAAGAAAGAAAAAGAAAAAGAATTTAAGAAGAAAGAAAAGAAAAAGTTAAGAATGCAGGGCTAATCCAAGGTCAAAGGCTTGGAAGCTCACTATAGAGATGGAAGGCTAAAGAAATGGAAGAATAATGTCCACAGACAATGAAAAAGACTGGAATTCTTCCAAAACAGGGACTCTTCCTTCTTCTTTCTCTTTTTATTCAATCAGGCTACAGCTATTGGTTGGTACCACACATATCTGACGTGGATCTTGATCCATTCAAAGTGACATGATTAATGGTCACATGAAGGGAAGAACATTCTTCCCTACCACATTGTATTGGCTTGTTTTAATCATTAGGATGTTGCCAAACATAATGAGATGAAAAGTGAGATTTTTAATTGCACAGCTTGGTTAACTTTCTTCTCTCCTTTCCTCTGTACATAAGATCATCCTCAGATACCAACTTTTCCTTCAGTCTGAACATCAGAAGGTAGATAAATAGATAGATAATTAGACCACCTTCACCAATTCATAGACCCACAACCTAAAGCAGAATTGAACAAGCTCACCTCAGACCTGTGAGTGTGAGAGTATTTATTCTTTTGTATTCCACTGAGTTTTGGCGTTGCCTATTATGAAACATTACTATGGTAATAGCTGGCTTACAAATCAGTAAAAACATTCTAATTGTTGCAGACATTAGTTAAGTAATCATGTAATTAAATATAATTCTCCCTAACTAGATTACATGGTCCACAGGGTTAAAACCATGTCTATATTTGCTCTTCATTGTTCCAGCACCTACCCCATTAGATTGTATAATAAACCCTTATTGATTTAATATTTTAATGTGAAAGAAAGGCTGAAATAATATGTGCCAAAATATTAAAATCGGATAAGATAATAAGTAATATTTATATCTTCATTCCTTTCTGTAGTATAATAATAGTTTTCTTTATTGAAATAATGCTTTTGCATTATAAACAACAGTTGCTTTTATAATCAGAGGTAAAAGAACAAAGCTATTTGTACTAAGAAAAATATATATATTTGGAAAGAAATATACTCATGGATCAAATAAGATATTATTTGCATCACTTAAATCTAGACATGGTTCTAAATTCAGGAGGCTTTCAACTCATACAAAGGAGATGAATATTTAGTTGTCAGTACAGTAAATAAAGTGTTAGGCCAAGATTTATGACCTGGCTGAGACACACTGTGCTTTGCTTTGCTTTGCTTTGCTTTGCTTTGCTTTGCTTTGCTTTGCTTTGCTTTGCTTTGCTTTGCTTCTTAGAATTAGAGAGAAATGTCTAAGGTAAACCAAGAAAAGGCAAAGAAAATTAGAGAGAATAGATTAAACAAAAATGTCGGTAAGTTACTTGTTATTAATGAACTCATTAGATTCATTTTACAAATCTTTTATTCCTAACGACATCTTGCCAGCCACATCTCTTCACCTCCTACCTCCTTTCACCCCTAATCTCCCTGCTTTCTGCCCTCATCTCATTGTCTATTGGAACAGACTATGCACTCTTCTCAAAGACCTCAGGCCCCCTCTCACATCCCTTCATTTATTTTATGTCTGTCT